TTTAAGTTAACATATATCTTAACCATGTGAAAGGTGAAGTTATAGAAATACTCAAGTTAAACAGGCAAGTATGTCTGATGTGAACAAGTTGAGCAGGATTAATTTACAAGCATTTTCTACCTCAAAGCACATCACACATTATCTACTATGATCTTCCAAACACCTAATTTATGAAGCAGAAAGAGAATAATGCATATATATAGATGAGGAAACAGACCTGTTAGAACAGTGAGAAGGTCCAGGATGTAGCTCAACGGTAGTCTGCCTACACACATGAGGTCCTGGGCTTCCAGCCCTACTGCATCTTTTTTCGGTCGTGGAGACTGAACCTAAGACCTCAAAACTATGCTATGTCCCTACCACTGCCCACCTCCCCATTTTGATTTTTATTTATTTATTTATTTATTTGTGTGTGTGTGGCCAGCTCAGCCCACCAGGGGGCAGGGCCGGCTGGCATGTGGTGCTGGGGATTGAACCATGGTCTCTTTGCTTTGCTAAGCTTATTCTAAGTGGTGCTTTAGACCACTGAGCCATCTCACCAGCCCCCACCTCCCCATTTTGAAACATGACTTTGTTAAGTCACTGAATTGCTCAGGGTGGGCTTATTAAACTTTAGATGCCCCTGCCTCAGCCTGATAGACAAAGGATTAGAGGTATGCCACCACTTCTGGCTCCCAGCACTTCACAAAATAAACAAAACAAGCACTGGGCTTCTGCCTTCAAATCCAGGTGTGTCTTTTTGTTTTGTGTTTTGCCTCGGGTGGGTCTCATTATGTAGTTCAGGCTGGTGTCAAGCTCACTATGTAACCCTGGCTGGCCTGGAACCTGCATCAAACCTCCAGTCTCAGCTTCCAGAGTGTTGCGATTACAGACGTGCACCCCACACTGAGCTGCAATGCTTTTTCCTGAAACAGAAAACTGGCTTCAATTCTAACTTTACTACAACCTTCTAAGTGACATAGCTCTAGGAAAGAAAAATACACAAAAGAAATCTATGTGATAGCTAGACATGGCATTACAGTTCCGTAATCCCAGCACTTGGGAAGCTGAGGCAGGAGTATTACCAAAGTTCAGGACCATCCTGGGTTACATAGTGTGTTCAAGGCTGGCCTGAACTGTGTGCTGAGACCCTTTATCAAAACAAAGACCAAACACCAAGTCGATCCCTGCACGAGGCTCTGAATAACCTTCACACTACTAATGCCTACCAATAGAAGGCATCAGAATATCCATCCCTTTTTCTTTGGTCTAAATTTCATCAAAAGGAAAGTGTTTCGGTTCAATCCCAGTACCACAAAAAAAAGTGTTCTGTACCTGGTACTTGATGGGGTCAGATTTTTTTTTTTTTTTTTGGTGGAACCAGGGATTGAACTCAGGCCCTTGTGCTTGCCAGGGAAGCGCTTATTCTACTGAGCCATCTCCCCCACCCCGTGGAGTCAGATTTTCAATGGTTAAAGGAACAATCACAAATGATTCCCTTCCTCAGGAAATACTCTGACAATTTCTGCAGATAAAGTTAAGGAGTTCTGAGGTAGGCATGATGATGCACACCTGTATTCTGGGCACTCTGGGAGGCTGAGACAGGAGCAAAACAGGTTACAGTCCAGCCTCAGCAACCTCGTGAGATACTGTCTCAAAATTTTACTTTATTTTTTGCAGTACGGGGGATTAAGCTCACGACCTTGCGCTTCCCAGGCAAGTGCTTGTTCTACTGAGCAATCTCCCCAGCCCCTTCTCAAAATGTTAAAGGGACTAGAGATGAAGCTCAGAATAAAAGCTCTTGGTTCCTCTGTGTGTGTGTGTGTGTGTGTGTGTGTGTGTGTGTGTGTGTGTGAGTGTGTGTGATGAAGCTCAGAATAAAAGCTCTTGGTTCCTCTGTGTGTGTGTGTGTGTGTGTGTGTGTAGACCAAAAAAGAAATCGAGATACACCTGTAATCCTAGCATGCAGGAAGTTAGGAGGAGGACCACCAGGAGTTTGAGGCCAGTCTGGGGTACCCTGTGAGTTCAAAGCCAGCCTGAACTTCACTGCAAGACTCTGTCTCAAAAGGGGGGCAGGGGAGAAGGGCGCCAAGAACTCTGCAAGGATCTGCTTGGTTTCCGTTGAGAGAAAAGTGAGAATAAAAAACTATACCATTCAGAGAACAGTCCTAGATGATACCTTACCTTTGTAAAGTGCTTCAGAATTTGCAAACAATTTCATACATACTACCTGTTAAGTTTTGGACTACTTCTGAGGTATGTAAGGAAACAACTACTACTCTCACTCTGTAGAAGGATGAATAAAACATTTCAAAGTTAATGACTTATCCAAAGTAAAAATATTAATAATTGATTTTACTGAAACTAAAAGCCAGGTCTTCGTCTTATGGGCCACTGCTTACTTTGGCATTGCTAAGTGCTCAGGCAGTGAAGATGAGATTTCAGAGCTTGGTAGCAATTTTTCCAGTAAACAATATCCTCTCTCTGTCCTTTCACTCACAGGGAAGGCAACAGTACCTGAACCTGACAGGAGAACCTTCATGGTTTGAATTGCACATGTCCCCAAAAGACAGTGAAAGTGTTAGGGTGTGCTCACCAGCCTGTGGCTCTGCAGGGAGGGGCAGGAAGCTCTGGGCAGTGAGGCACAGCAGAATGAGCCATTGCTGGGGCACCCCAGGGGATACTGGCCCTGCAAGCCCTCCGCACTTCCTTAGTCCTGCCCTCAGGAGGTGACTGGCTTTGGTCCCTCAAGTGCTCCCCACAATGATGTTTTCCTTGCCACAGGGCCAAGAAACCAAGAAGAAAACCACTGAAATTCTGAGCCAGAACCAATCTTCCCCCTTTTAATTATCTCAGTTATTTTATCACAGTAACAGAAAGCTGACTGGCACAAGATCAGTAGGAAGGAGCCCAGTAATAACGTACACCAGAACAGCACATATATATGAAAACACTCTGCAGGAGACTTTCAGCAGTGACTTTAAATGATCCATACCTTCCTAAGGGAGTACACTCTCGTGGGGAAACGCCACAAAAGTCAAGGCGGCACTCTGAGATTTTGTCAATCAGTTTAATGTGTGTCCATATGAATGCTTAAATTACAAAATTAGCTGCCATGGTCCAAATGTGTGGGACTTCAAGAAAGCTTATATTACTCAAAAAAGAGCTAAGCATATCAACTCCGATTTCTAAAATGTATTTTAAAGGTCTGTAAAACAACTCTAATTCTAGAATTACATTCCATTAAAGTAATTAAATTTTGTGTTATTTTTGTCACTATAACTTAAATTCATGAACCGTTAAAAAAATTATTATTACATTTGCTTCTCCCAGTTTCCATATTTCGGTTTTAACCCAGAGAAAACCCATGTGGAAAGTTCCCACACAGCCACATACGCTGTTTTCAGCAGCACACGCTGTTTTCACAGCCACTCACTGTTGCTGCCTCAGAGCAGACTTGCACATAAAACATCAATGAAGAAAAGCCCACCACCCCAGACCCACTAAAAAGCCCGCTTTCGCTGGGGAGATGGCTCAGTAGAATAAGCGCTTCGCTGGCAAGCGCAAGGGTCTGAGTTCAATCCCTGGTTCCGCCAAAAAAAAAAAAAAAAAAAAAAAAAGCCCGCTTTCAAATCACCAGCAACGATTACCTGGTACAAGCAGTAATTTAAAAAATGCTTTCTTAGTAAGAAGCATTTATAAAATGCAGAGATTTGAACAAGACAAATGCTTGTGCAGTTAGATGGGCCTCTCCCCCGAGTTTCATCCTCAAAAGGCAGAAACAGGTCTTGGTCGTTTAGGAAAACCACTTACATTTATGCATATACATGGCTATTTCACTGTAAGACCACACCCAGCCTCAAGAGTAGAACAGGCAGAAGCAGAGGTACACAGCCGTAATACAGAGGACACAGCTTCTCCACGACACTCAGAAGGCTGCAGCAGCCAAGGAGAAAAGGGGACCGCACACAGGCCCGGAGCCCAGCTCCCGATCTGAATGAGGCAGTCACTTTCCTGCGTATTTGCTGCTCAAGAAAAATGAACACATGGCCACTGAACACTCAGCGTTCACACCGTCATTAGCTCACACCGGAGGCAAGAAGGAGGCTGCTGCTCTCCTACCTAGGCCTCGCTTTCCCGTACACAGCAGTGCCTCACACCTGCACACTTCCTGCAACGCTGTCGTCGCCAACACGCCCGCCCGTGAGACACAGACGCGCTGCGACTCCCTGCGACCTCATGACCACATAGTGTTCTCTATTTCACTTTTGCACAAGGTTAATGTAGACACAGAAGAAAACACCAAGCAATGTTTATTGTGCAATTCCAGTAATTATTTGTGGAATCGTGGTTTAGGAGTCAATTGCCATAACTGTTCCAAATGACTAGTTTAAACAAAAAGCAACTACCTAATTATCTATCCATAAATTTCATATTTTTCAAACACTAAAGTACTAAAAGCACTGTTGACTCATTATAATTTAAAATAGTTTAAAACTACACATATTTTATATATCACTTTTATAAAATAATCAAAATAATTTGACTATCTAGAGGAAAATTATGTAAATAGAGCCCTTTCAATGTATCTACAACCTCTGTAAAACTTCAAATCAACAGCAGAACAGAAGATGAAATGGGATTTCCCATTTACCAAGAGCGTCTGAAACTTAAGATGAGACGGACTCAGACGTTTTGTTTTCCACAAACTCAGAGCTCATAGGTGGCATCAACTTGGACTCTGGGATTTTGCTACATGGCTTTCACTTTGATTTGTTTCATTTTCATTTGCTTTTTCTCCAGCTTCTTTTGCTCACGCCTCAAAGCTGCTTCCTGAGGGACAAGGAAAGAGAGAAAATGTCTGAGGCAGGTCATAAGCACACACACTAAAAACCAAAAAAAAAACAAAAAAAAAAAAATCAAAAGCAGGATATTGTCTGTATTAGTATATGAAAAATTAGGCTTGCTGCATAAATAGCTTTTATTTTTATTTTATTTCCTTTTTCTTTTTTTTGGCAGAACTGGGGATGGAACTCAGGCCCTCGCACTTGCCAGGGCAGCGGTTATTCCACTGAGCCATCTCCCCGGTCCCCTGAGCAAAGTACTTTAATACAGAAAGTTCAACTGGGAATTTTTACTGTATTTTTATTTGAGAATTAGGAGGTTACACAGGTGAGGAAGGCACTGTAGTTGTTATAATCAACCATGACAAATGGTTCATGCCATTTATTTTTTTTAAATTTTATTTATTTGTGTGTGTGCGTGTGTGGCCAGCTCAGCCCACCAGGGGGCAGGGCTGGCTGGCATGTGGTGCTGGGGATTGAACTGCGGTCCCTGTGCTTAGCTTAGCTTGTTCTAAGTAGGTGCTTTAGACCACTGAGCCATCTCACCAGCCCTTGATGCCATTTAATTGAATTTTTTTTTCCAGAAACAATCTCAAACTTCATTTTTTTCTAAAGGAAATCTGGGTAGAAATAACCTGATAAATATACTCAACTGTTACACGATCAACACAAGAGGAAAAAAAGGACAAGCACATAATATATATAGCCTTTGACAGTATAAGTAATGTTTAAAAAGGTAATTTGTAAATTCCTAGTTGTGGAACTACTATGTTAAATTCACAAACTTTGTAGTAACAAAGAATATTTAACCGCACTGTACCGCTGGGTGAGCCTTAGTGCTTAAGCATCCACAGCCATCCTACTGGGTAAGCAGCTGAAGCACCGAAGGCCCGGTGCTCATGCACTGTCATGGGGACAACACTACAGCAGGGCATACCCTTCCTCCTTCAGGAGTGCTGGGCCTCCTGCCAGGGCCTAGGGCACGTGACGAGTAAAAACTGTGCTATTCTTTTTTTTTTTTTTTTTTTTTTTTTGTGGTACCAGGGATCAAACTCAGGACCTTGAACTTGCCAGGCAAGCACTTATTCCACTGAGCTATCTCCCGGCCCCCTAAAACTGTGCTATTTTAGGGCAGTTATACAAAATGGTCAAGTAATCTCTCATCATCTTTGCCCCTTTCTCAACCATATCAATTCCTCCTCCTGCTTATGCCTCCCTACTTCTCATACTATACTGTGTATTATACTCATGTATAAAGCTACTGATACACAGATAGATATGTATGTTAATGGGTAGGGCGATGCATGATTATAATCAATCCCAGCTATCGGGAGGCTGAGACAGGAGGAGCGTGACCTGAGTTCAAGGCAGGCCTGAACTATTTTATAAGACACTGTTTCATGAAAAACAAAATAAAACAAAAAAACAAAAAATCAAAATGGCATATGCCTGTAGTTACAGTAATCGGGAGGCTGAGGCAGGAGGATTGCTGCAAATTTACGCACAGCCTGTGTACACAGTGAGTTCAGGGCCAGTTTAAACTACATACGACCCTGTTTAAAAAAAGTCTTTTATAAATATGTACATAAATCTATTATAAATATGTACATATATATATGTATATGTATATGTATATATTTTTTTTTGCAGAACCAGGGATCAAACTCAGGCCCTTGTGCTTGCCAGTGAAGTGCTTATTCCACCGAGCCATCTCCCCAGCCCCTATGTATTTTTTTATTTTATGAAGGAAACTATCCCATTATATTCACACATATATTCATATGTACATATTTGCAGTAACATAGATGCACCAGGACTTTTTCTCAGGAAATTAAAAAAAAAGCAGGGGAAGATATCATTTTCTTGAAAGACTTCTACATTTTTAACATCAAAAAGTTGTAGAAAGGTTTAACAAGATTTACATTAAAAAAAGAGATACACACACTAGGTACACAGATGGATAGAGGGAGGGGTTGCTTGAAAAATTGTTAACATTGTACAAATGAAGAGTAATTTCAATTTCTGTGCACATCTTTCTCTGTATTTTTCAAATGAAGTATATAAGAAAATAAAACAAATGCAAAGCAACACTAGCAGGGACAAGAAGCCCATCTCATGTGTATGAATGAGAAATTCCAGTTAGAAACTAAAGCTTCTTCTTTGGGGGTGGGGGCTCTTTTCGTTTAGTTCACTGGGCTTTTCAGAGGTACCAGGCCAGAGACTACACCATGAGGTGGTAGTCCTAAGAAAACAAATGGTTACATCCACAAGGAGCTTATAATCTAAGTTCCAAGCCGATTTTTCTTTTAATTCATATAGTTTGAAATCCTAGAAAAAACAAAAGAACTTCCCATATTACTTATTAGTGACATACAGATTAAGTGGATCAACCCAGCAATCGAGCCAGCTTTCCCACAACGCCACTTCCCCAACCTTATTTATTTACTTGTTTATAGCATGTGAGACGGTGTGTCACTAGGCTGCCCGGCGAGGTCCAACCTGCACTACCCCTACCTCGGCAGGCAGCGAGTGCGCAGGCAGCTCCCTGCTCCTGCGTAGTCTTCACATGTATACATTAAAAAGCCATTTTCATTTGTAAAGAAGACTGCATAAGCAAAGCTGCATTTTTAGGAGTTACCCGTCAGCTAGCCCAACAAAATAGAAAAAAAACCCACACGGAGTAGGGGTCGCACTCTGGTAAGCTCTGACACTGCTCGCGGCAGCAACCGTGGCTCTGCTGGCCACTGCGGTGCCACGGAGCAGCTCTTATTTTCCTGCCAGCAGGTCTTCCGATTTTTTTCTCTCCTTGAAATTATTATTTAAATTAACAACTTCATTTTTTTCCCCCATTTTTGAGACAGTCTCACTCTGCAGTGCAGACTGGCCTCTAACGTACAGTGATCCTCCTGCCTCAGCCTCCTGAAAGCTGGGATCACTGGCATGGCCACCATGCCTGGCTGTGCTCTTCTTTATTGACCTGCATTTATAAGTTTTACAGCTGGACTATAGCATTTGCTTTCATGAAACTATATCAGAACCTGATTATCCTTGAAGCCTAACCAAAA